ACAGAGAGAAAGGTCTTCCTTTGCCGTTGGTTCACCCTCCAATGGCTGCCGCGGCCAGCGCGCTGCGACCGGCGCACCGCGCTGATCCGATGGCAGGAGCCAGGAGCCAAGTGCTTTTCCTGGTCTCCCATGGGGTGCAGGGCCCAAGCACCTGGGCCATCCTCCACTGCACTCCCTGGCCACAGCAGAGGGCTGGCCTGGAAGAGGGGCAACCGGGACAGAATCCGGCGCCCCGACCGGGACTAGAACCCGGTGTGCCGGCGCCGCTAGGCGGAGGATTAGCCTAGTGAGCCGCGGCGCCGGCCTTATTTATTTATTTATTTATTTATCTGAAAGATGAAGTGACACAGAGAGAGGAATAGACAGAGGTAAAACTCTTTCGTCTGATTCATTCCCAAAATGGCCACAACAGCCAGGGTTGGGTCAGGTGAAGTCAGGAGCTTGGATTTCCACCTGAGTCTCCCAGATGGGTGGCAGGAGCTCAAGTAGTCAGGCCATCTTCTGCTGCCTTTCCAGGCACATTAGCAGGAAGCTGGATTGGAAGTGAAGCAGCTGGGATTTGAACTAGCACTTGATATGGGTTGCCAGCATTTGCAAGTGGTGGCTTATCCGCTATGCCACAGGCTGGTCTTCTGGATTTTAACACTGGAAAATGTGATCAGAAAATTGAGCAAATCTCAGTGCCCATCTTCACTGGCAAACATCAGGAGCTGAGTAGAAGTTGCTCCTTTAAACAGTTTTTTTCTCATACTATTTGTTGAACTCTTTACTTAGTATAGAGTTAATCACATGTCTGTAAAGTAAATTGAAAATAGACCTTAGTAAAAAAATTCAGAAAAAGTACGTAAAACAAGAAATTGCTGCTTTAGATGTGGTGTGGTTCTATTGTTTATAGCTGTTACACAAACCACCCTAGAACTTAGTGTCATACCACAACTATTTCCTTGTGTTCTCAGATTTCACAGGTCAGGAATTTGAATCAGACACAGCAGGGATGGCTGGTCTCTGCCTCCTGGTGTCTGAGCTGGAAGACTTGCAGGAGGTAACTCTAGCAGAGTGGGGCTGAAGGAGTCACTGCCAACGTGTGGACTCCCGGGCTGAGATCACCCCAAGGGGAGCTCACTCTGGACTGTTGGCAGGAGTACCCTTGCTCTGTGCCTCCCTGTGACACCGTCACTGATTAGAAGAGGGAATGTTCTTCGAGGGACACTTTCCTTCACAGCATGGCTTCTGAGGCTACATTTCTGCTGCACTGCTGGATGGAAGAGTCCAAGAACTTGAGGCTGTTTCCCCCCAAAATCTCCAAAGAGCATGTGGGAACATGTCTTTAAATAAAAATAAAAAGATTTATTTATTTGAAAAGGAGAGAGAGAGACAGAGAAAGAGAGAGATCTTCCATCTGCTGGTTCACTCCCTAAACGCTTGCAACATCAGGGTTGGGCCGAGATGAAACCAAGAATAAGAATCTCCATCCGTGTCCCTCACATAGGTGACAGGGACCCAAGCACTTGGGCCACCATACGCTGCCTTCCCAGGCTCAGTAGTGGGGAACTAGATTGGAAGCACAGAGTAGCTGGGACTCTGGCTCTCTGATATGGCTGTGCCCTGCCCCTTTTGACTTTTCAAATATTTATTTACTTGCAAGGCAGAGAGGGAGAGAAGGAAAGAAGGGGAGAGGTGGTGGTGGGGGAAGAGACAGAGAGAGAGGGAGAGGGAGAGAGAGGTGTTTTTAAGAACCAGGTCTTGACATGCAGGTGATGGGGTCAAACTCTTCAGTTAATTTCACAGTGTCATTGTAACACTATCAGTCCCTGCAAATCCCCTCTCATCTATCTTTGCATCTATTAACAAATTAATTTATTTCCAATTTTAATTCTCATCCTGCTTTCCCCATGGGTGGTATTCTACTGCACTGACATTTATTTTATTTATCTTTCTGTTTGTAGGTACTCTGGTAAGATAGATAGTGCTTTGGATCTGCAAAGTTTAATTTACATAACAATATTATCTCAGAGATCATATTATGTTTCTGAGCTTTCCGTCTCAGCCTGGGGTTTGAAGATCCATTGTGTTGTTTTGTAGACACCTGAGCCATGGCTTCTGACTGCTGCTGGCTAATCTACTGTGTACTCCTTTTCCTCCCTCCTATGATGGGCATGTGGATGGATGCTTCCATGCTGTGCCACCTGCTGCGAGAAACAAAGCCACCCATGTTTTCCTGATGGGACTCATGGAAGGGATTCTTTGGGGAACGCATCTAAGAGTAGGGAGATTGGGTCAAATAAGGCATGCATTCCGGTTTCACTCACCTCAGCTGTTGTCACTCCCACCAGCAGCGTGTGGATGTTCCAGAACCCCTGGGTCCCATCGACTCTTGGTGTTGCTGAGCTTCCTTGTAGTCTCATTTCATGATTTATTTCCTGACTCCTCATGAGTTTGGCCACTCTTCCTCTGCCCATTGGGCTACCTCCTTTAGGAAGCTGCCTTTCATACTCATTGTGATCTCTCTCTTGCTGCCTGTCTTGTCTTGATGCTTTGCAGGGGCATATGCCCTTTGGTTTGTACCAAGGTGCACTCAGTTCACTGATTGATGTTATTTGCTGGTGCCTGCAGGCAGGTGAGTTTGCGTCTCTGGCAGGATTCTGCTGGAAGGAAGCAGGGTTGAGATCCGTCCCACCTAACTAAGATATGGCGGAAAGGGTGATTAGGTCAGGCTTTCCAGAGAAAGTGTGCTAGTTTCCTGTGGTGGGTATAGCAAATTCACATGAGGATGAGTGATAAAACAACAGAAACTCAGCCTACTTTTGTAGTTTTGGTCTCCAGAAACTCAAAATCAGTTTCACTGAGCCAAAAATCAAGATGTGCTGGGGTCTGTGGCATAGTAGGTTAAGCATCCGCCTACTGCGCTGGCATCCCATATGGGCACCGGTTTGAGTTCTGACCACTCCACTTCTGATCCAGCTACCCTGCAGATGACTTGGGAAGGCGGAGGAAGATGGCTCAAGTGCTTGGGTCCCTGCTACCCTGTGGGAGACCTGGAAGAAGCTCCTGGCTCCTGGCTTTGGATCAGCCCAGCTCTAGCTATTGTGGCCATTTGAAGAGTGCAGCAATGGATGGAGGACCTCTCTCAGTCTCTTCCTCTCTCTGTGTGTAACTCTGCCCCTCAAATAAATCTTTTTTTTTTTTCAAAAGATGTGTTAGGGCCATGCTACTTTTGCAGGCTCTCAGAGTGGATCCTTCCTGGCCTCTTCCAGCTTCCTGTGGCTACTGGTGTGTGTGTGTGTGTGTCCATATCTCTCCCATTTCTTCATCTGTGGTCACACTGCCTCCTCTTCTCTCTGCATCTACCATCTTTCTGCATCTCTCTTACTAGGATATTTGTGATGGATCATCCAGAATAATGTTTATCCCCAAATCCCTACACATCCTACAAAAACTTCACCACATAAAGTGACACTCACAGGTTCCAGAGGTGAGGACCTCATGTCTCTGGGGAGCATCATTCAGTCCACGGAAGGCAATGTTTAATTTGAGCCAGGAGAGCAAGAAAGAATGAGGAGTGTCTTGGCTTTCCATGCCTGAAATACTCTCATGGGCTTTTCAGCCAGATCCAAGTGCCTTTAGGGCTGATTCTGAGGCCAGAGTGCTATTTAGGACATCCGCTATTCTATGAGTCTGCTGAGTATCTCACTTCCCATGTTGGATCACTCTCCCCTTTATTTATTCTATCGGTTAGTGTTAGCAGGTACTAGACTTGTTTATGTGCTCCCTTTGACTCTTAGTCCTTTCATTATGATCAATTGTGAACTGAAATTGATCACTTGGACTAGTGAGATGGCATTGGCACATGCCACCTTGATGGGATTGAACTGGAATCCCCTGGTATGTTTCCAACTCTACCAATTGGGGCAAGTCAGCCCGAGCATGCCCCAAATTATACATCTCTTCCCGATCTCTGTGAGTGAGATCCCAGTGGAAAGAACAGGTCTTCAAAGAGGGAGGTGCCTTTCTCTGAAGGGAGGAGAGAACCTCCACTTTGACTATGACCGTGTCTAAACAAGATAAGAGTCGGAGAACTCAAGGGGCTTCCATAGCCTTGGAAACTCATGACTGGAGCATAGGGAGATTACTGATGCCATAAACAGGAGCGTCAATTTGTAAAGTCAACAACAGGAGTCACTGTGCACTTACTCCTCATGTGGGATCTCTGTCCTTAATGTGCTGTGCATTGAGATTTAATGCTATAACGAGTACTCAACCAGTATATTTCACTTTGTGTTTCTATGTGGGTGCAAACGGTTGAAATCTTTACTTAATGTACACTAAACTGATCTTCTGTAAAAAAAAAAAAAGAAAAAAAAAAAAAGAAAAAAGAAACTATCAATTCCCAACTTGACTCTCACTGGGATTAAACATGACAATAGGTCTGATCTGATTTCATCATCATTTAAAAAAAATCATCTATTATTTTTCACTTTATGTTTCTGTGTGGGAGCAAACTGTTGAAATCCTTACTTAAGGTATACTAAGCTGATCTTCTGTATATTAAGATAATCGAAAATGAATCTTGATGTGAATGGAAGGGGAGAGGGAGTGGGAAAGGGGAGGGTTGTGGGTGGGAGGGACGGTATTGGGGGGGGGAGCCATTGTAATCCATGAGTCGTACTTTGGAAATTTATATTCATTAAATAAAAGATAAAAAAAAAAGAAAGAATGAGGAGACAGAAGGTGACAGAGGCACAAGGAACCTAACATAACTGGAGAAACTGCAAGGAGTTTGGAGGCAGGCCTAGGACAGGAGAGAGGAAGGTTGATGCTGGATGGAGAGAAGGGCTGAGAGGCTGGGATCTCAGAGCGTGAGAGCCCTGAGCAGGCACAGGCAGAACAGCATGCTGTAGGGTCGAGTCACAGTGGGTTTAGGAAAGGTATTTATTTCTTTAGGTGGCTTTTGTTTTTCCTCTATCACTAGTAAAATGTCTGCCCTCAAAATTTGTTATCAGGGAGAAATAGACTCTACAGCTATCAAGAAACCAGGCTCAGTCTTTGCACCTACCTGTGTGACCTTGGGTAAGTGGTTTGATTAATTTTTCTCCCTCTGCAAAATAGAATGCGATGGTCTTGAAACATGGCTGTGAGTTTTTTCACACCATTGCCTTTTGTAAGTGGAGGAAAAGTCCCTTCCCATTGAATTTGGGTGGAGTTGTGACTGCTTTGACTAACATACTACAGCTGCTGTGACACCGTGACTTCTGAGACTAGGCCATTCTCAGGTATTAGGGTTTCCCTCCTTTGTTGGAACACTTTCCCTTGGGGCCCTGAGATACATACAAGAACGTCAAGCACCCTGAGAAGGTTCTCTTGGACAGGTCTCTGATCAGCAGCCTTCATGATTTTCAAGTCCAGGAGACAGACATGTGAGTGAATGAGCCTGCAGGTGATTCCAGCCCGTCATTCAAGTATTTTCTACTGAGACACAGGCATTTTTGTAAAAGATTTATTTTATGTATTTGAAAGGCAGAGTTACAGAGATGGAGGGAGGAAACAAGAGAGGCAGTGAGAGAGAGATCATCCATCTGCTGGTTCACTCCCCAAATGGCTGCAACATCTGGGGCTGAGCCAGGCCAAAGTCAGGAGCCTGGAACTCCATCTGGGTCTCCTGTGTGGGTGGCAGGGGCTCAGGGAGTTAGACCATCTTCCACTGCTTTCCAAGGCACATTAGCAGAGAGCTGGATCAGAAGTGGAGCAGCTGGGACTTGAACCATTGCCCGTATGGGATACCAGCATTGCAGGCAGCAGCTTAACCTGCTGCACTACAACACCAGTCCTGAGACCCAAACATTTTGAGAAGTTAGGAGGCATTGCACACTGTGCCTTGTGTCTTCTATCCACTCCCCCCATCCTATAAGCAAAATAACATAGCTGTGTCTTCTCCCTACAATTGGGGTGGTATGTTGCACAGCAGGAGATAAGGGGCTACAGTTCTGGCTGCAAATTTGAATACCTTTAAAAAAACTAAACAATTCCTACCTCTGTACAGTTTGGGAGTGGAGATTAATGAGAACAATTCTTATTAAATAGTGATGTAGCAAGATTTCCCGATTTTAAAGTTTAATTTTCTTTGTCCTATATACTTGCTCCACTAAAAAATAATAATTGGAAGGCTCCTGCCCTCCTCTTTTGGCATATTGTAGATAATTAGTGCTGTGCATACCTCAGCATGGGGCACTTTCAACATGGCCTCTTTGGTGTTTGTAATCAGGAGCAGGCCCGCGTGTCACATCCATGGAAGTGTCTCATTAGTACAGACCCCTGGATAATTAAATAGTCAGCATGGATCAATCAATAGATCCTTCCTCGCCCTCAGAAATGAATGTTTCTCCTCTACAACTATTGTCTTTGATAAATGGAAAATTGAAGTTTGTCCTCTATTGGAGATGGCCCTGACCAACCACCTCATTTCTTGACAAACCTTTCAAGTAACATTCTCAAAAGAATTTTCTAGGCTTGCTATCACCATTTTCTCTCTTCATCCTCTTCCTCAACTCATTTTAAACAGATCTTAGTTTATAGTGTTCCAGTACAAGCAACTCCTGTCACGATCACCAATGGCCTCCACATTGTGAAATGCAGTGACTAATTCATGTTTGGCCCCAGCCTCTATCCTCCCTCCTCAAGTGGCCTTGCTGAGACATGCACGTGTTAGCTGATGGCCATCTTGTGGAATTGTTTCTTTACCTGGTGGCAAGAGCCCTACCATCTTTAGTTCCTCCCTGCTGTCTTGTTGGGTAAATCTTCATCTTATGCTAATGATCCCAAGTATTGTTTCAAACTCAGATCTCTTCTCTGTACTCCAGACTCTCACACACAACTACCTGCTTATTAGATATCTGTGACTTGATCAAAGCTGAACTCTGTCTTCTCCCAAGATTGCTCCTTCCTTGGTCTTCCTTTCTTAGTAAATGACTTTTCCTTCCAAGTCATCAACCTGGAAGGCTAGTCATCTCTGACTTCTCTCCAACCCACACCAGATCCATTAGCAGATTCTGCTGGATCTCACTTACTAATATGCAAAAATCTGTCCACTTCTTACCACTCCCATGGCTATCACCTTGTTCTCTGTCACCCTCATCTCTCACTGCATCTGTTGCCATGGCCTCCTAACTCTTTTCTCTGCTTCTGTGTCTCTTTGTAGCCTATTTTCTGGTTTGTATTTTAATAGAATACATTAGATTATCTCACTCCTTAGCTACAAACTCTCCTGTGGCTTCTCACCTCACCCAGAGTGAAATCCATAGTGGTATACAGATTGACATACACTCTTCAGTCTAACGCTCTCCCAACTGAGCTATTTCAGGAAGTTAGATTGACATACACTCTTGAGCCCCAGCTGCACTTCTCCTTGGACCATGCCATTCAGTTCTTTCCCACCCTGTCCCAGCCACGCCATCCCCATCCCTTGTTGTTCCAGTGGGTTTTGTATTTACTGTTTACTCTGCATTGAATGCTTCTTCCCCAGTGAGAACTCTGGTGTGGAATTGTAACTGACTATTCCAGAGGGCTGCCTGTAGCTTGGCACAGGTCTCAGCAGAGGAGCTCTGTTCCCATTACTGGGAGAGGTGGAAGGAGAAAGCTGTCACCTACAACAGAAGCGCTCATCCTCTGTATTCTAGGAACTGTGGGTCAGAGATCCTTGGAAATTGAGGAAGGGCCTCCAAAAGTCCACAAATGTCATTTGAGAAAGAGAGTCCGAGATGGACAGTTGGCCTAGCAGTTCAGACATCTGTCTGTGTCTCACATCAGAATGGTTGGGTGCGATTTTTGGCTTTGGTTCCTGAAAACAGCTTCCTGTTAATGCAGACCTGGGAAATAGTAGTGATGGCTCAAGTAATTGGGTTCCTGCCACCCATGAGAGACTTGGGTTGAGTTCTAGGCTGGCTCTAATCTTTGGAATGGGATGTCTCTTTGTCTCAAGTAAATAAGTAAACAAATAGATAAATAAAAAACAAAGGAAGATAGCTGTGAATACATGTCATTCTCAGGAACCACAGTGCCAACTTGCAACAGTGTGAGACAAGCAAGAACTTTAACACACCTCTTACCTTCATTCTTCTCCTCCGTCTCCAAGAGGGCAGAAATAACTTCGCAAGTTCATGGATAAAGAAGCCTCAACTCCAGACTTCTCATCGAGCCCAGAGGGAGAAGATTCCTTGGCATGGAATTTTTGGTGTGGTTATATTATTTTATTTCATTTTTTGTAAGAGTGTATCACTTTATTTATTTATTTATTTTTTGACAGGCAGAGTTAGACAGTGAGAGAGAGAGAGACAGAGAGAAAGGTCTTCCTTTTTCCGTTGATTCACCCCCCAAGTGGCTGCCACAGCCAGCTTGCTGCACTGATCCGAAGCCAGGAGCCAGGTGCTTCCTCCTGGTCTCCCATACGGGGGCAGGGCCTGAGGACCTGGCCCTCCTCCACTGCCTTCCCAGGCCACAGCAGAGAGCTGGACTGGAAGAGGGGCAACTGGGACAGAATCTGGTGCCCCAACCGGGACTAGAACCTGATGTGCCAGAGCCGCAAGTGGAGGATTAGCCTAGTGAGCTGCGGCGCCGGCCATTGTGGTGTGATTATTTTATGAAGGGACATTCCAATATTTGCATGCAGGCTATGTGTGTTGATGTAAAGGAACCCTAACTTTTATTGATTAAGAATGACAAGAAAACTCATTGCCTTGTACAAGTAGTCATCTGAGGCCAGGGGTGACCTTTTTCCACTGAATACATTTTAAAGGCACAGTGGGAGCATGGTGAAGTTGCCCTCTGTTCACACCCCATGGGTGCAGCTGTCTCCAGTTACAACAGGGATTCGAGAGTTGCTCAATGTGCCATGGGAGTCCAGAAGAGCACTCTGGGTACTCAGCAGCACTATTTCTGCTGCCAGAAATTCTGCCTCTTTATTCTCTGCATTCCTTAAATGGACTCAGCCTTCAAGATACAGGCTCATTTACATTTCCTCCAGGCCCAGCCACATCCAACTTTCTCTCCTGTAAACTCCCATAGTGTTCAATTTGTCCTTTTGTATTTGTTAGGCATTGTTTCTCTAGCTATAGCTGACTGGAGTCTCAGATAATAATGTTCCTAAATGCACCATTTTCCTACAGTACGGGATAACATTTGGGGCTCTTGTGTTCAAGAGTTGGTTGTGTTTTTCCTTCGCACTGTCCCCCCATGCCTTGCAAGCCCAGTTAACAGTTTTTTATGAAGCTAAATTTGACAGAACAGACAGGAGAAAATGTAGTCAGGGGCTATATGTAGCACTGATTTGGTCTCTGTCCTAGCATTTTTCTTGTTCTTATCTATTTCGGAATGGCCGGAGTCAGCGACCTCCCTGTTCCGAGCTCATTGCCTCTGCAGCACCGCTCATGGTGTGGCTTTCACAGCATTGTGGAGTGTTCACTCACTAGGGCTGCTGGAACAAAGCACTCCAAACTGGAGGACTTGGACAGCAGAAATGTGTCTTCTCCCAGTCCTGGAGGACAGGAGATTGCCTGGAGGACAGGCTTTTGGCCTAAGTTTTGGTGGTTTGCTGGGAGTCGCTTGTGTTCCTTGTCCTGTGAATGCATTGCCCGAATACTACCTTCATCTTCACATTGCATTCTTGCTGTGTGCAGGTCTGTGTCGTAGTACACAGTTGGGGTCTACCCTACTCCTGTGTGACCTCATCTAAAATTAACTAGGTACCCCTGCAAAATCTCTATTTTCAAATAAGGTCACATTCTGAGATAACAGGACTGGGACCTCAATATTTGAATTTTGGAAGGATACTATTTAACCCTTAGCAGTGAACTATGAGTTCCTGTTTTCATTCTTCTAGAAAGTTCTTATCCTAACTCTTTAAGCTAATCTGACCCATGTGTATGCAACATACCCATAAGCCTCTAGTGATGACCCAGGAACCTCCAGTGGGTTTGAGCCAGTTGTGCTTGAAGCCTCCCCCATACTCCCTCCTGAACCACTCTTGTTTTCTTCTTATTTTTAAACTTTCTGGCGATGCAATTGCTCTTTGATTTCTGCCTCTGTACTCTGGTCTTTT